CTGACAGGTGGCGAGCGGCAGGCCCACCAGACTGGTGTCGTTGACGGCCATGATCTGATCGCCCACATTGAGTTTGCCGGAGCGGGCGGCAGGGCCGTTGTTCAGCATGCAGGCCAAGATGACGGTGGGCAGGATGGAGCCCCAGCCCGACTCCACGATCACCACACCCAGCATCTCGCCCTTCTGCTTCTCTAGCTGAAGCTGAGTGCAGAAACATGATTAAAAATGAGGACAAATCCATTAACGACTAAAGAGTAAAGAAAGAACGTAGAGAAGTCAGAAAATACTGTAAAAAGAGGCACCAAATACTCCATTTATGAAATGAATATGGGGTGATGGGTGTTAATTGCTGTTATAAGTATGATTTTAACACCATGATGAAGTAGCGTGTGGCAGAATACCCTGCAAAAGTTTTAAGTCTTATGTGTTTTTTTTAGCATGGGGCCAGTGATAACCCAGTATTTATTACTGCCATTTAACGGTATTCATTGTGATCAACATACGCTGATAACTAGACTCACTTTTTGCACATTTTAGTTTTCATATGAATAAATCCTTGAGAGCATTTTGTAGTAAATATAGTGCTTAGTGTATTATTAATTAGAAATAATACAATACTTACATATAAAAATAAAATTATGACAATTATATAAAATGTATTTATATTTTCAAAAATATTATATGAATATATGTAAAATATTAAGTATATATTTTTTATAATAATAATTTATTTAATATATTCATAATTAATATAAAAAATTACATATAAAATAAAGATAAAATGCATTAATATTTTAAAAATACATTAATATTTTAAAATATGAAAAATATATAAAAATAAAAATATTTACCATTTATATAGTTATATAATTAATATTACTATCTTTTAAGTATTATATTTAATATTTTCATATATTGATATAAAATAATTTACATAATAGAAAAAAATATATATATTACATATTAAATGAAAAATACATCATATGTATGAAGATTTAAAAATATTATATACACACTGTATACACAAACACACACAGTAATTATGTACTATATCATATTATTTCTATATATTTAATATATTCATATCACTAATATAAAATAATTTATATAAATATAATATATACAGTGTATGTCTATATATACATACATTTATTTATGATTTTAACTGTTATAGTTACATACCTGTTAAATATATTACATTTATAATAGCAAATATATATATCGGCCCCCTAATCTCTATTCTATCACCATCAGCATTGAAAAACACATACAGGTAGTAGACAGGATAGTGGAAAGTGATAGGAATGCTTTAGGAAAGACTGGGATAGTGGGATCTGGAAAAGAGAGGCCAGACTTGCAGGAGCATCACAACACAATTGAGTTTGATGTCTGTGACACAAAGCAGCTACAATTCATAGCTGCTATGATGAAGTTTCCAGTGCTTTAATCACCTCTTTACAGTTTTCGGAATTGGAGAAATGGATGAGGTCGTCATTATACATCTCCTGTGTGTTCAGGATATCACTGTAGTCTTTCTGGCTGAGGTCCTTGGGATTGATCCCATTGGCTCGGAGGAACTCTTGGTAGGCCATGCTGAACGCCTGACCGATGGACTGTGCGATGAGCTGGGCCTGTGAGGGAGGAGAGGGAGGTGAAGCACTTAGCGAGAGGAGAATACTTGACGATGTGACGACATCTCAGAGCGAGAGAGTGCTTGAATCAAATCGAGAGGGCAGAAAAAAAGTCAAAACATGCAGTTACACGAGCACAACATGAACACAATGAAGAACAAATACAAAACTGAGTTATGAGCTACAAACCCACAAGGAATCTTTGCCTGTCATTCACACAGTCACACATGCATGCCTGTTTAGTCATTATTTAGGCTAATTTGATAATGCTACCAAAAACAGTGCTTGTTTACTAAATACTGATGTTAACTATTGTTTATTGAATATTAAATATTATATATTTGCTTGGTCAGATTTTGGGCTTATTTGATAATGCTTTCAGCTAACAACAATAGAGTTTATTTATTATATAGTAATGTTAAATATTTCTTATCGAATATAATATATTTGTT